ACTCAATGATACAATCGCTCATCGGTAACACCCCTTTGGTAGAGATTACCCGATTGAACCCCAATCCCGACGTGAAAATATTGGCCAAACTGGAAGGGCAAAACCCTGGCGGCAGTGTGAAAGACCGAGCGGCCTATAATATGTTAACCCAAGCCTTGGAACGAGGCGATATTGCCAAAGGAAGCCATTTGGTAGAAGCCACCAGTGGCAATACGGGCATTGCATTGGCCATGATTGCCAATTTATTGGGGCTTAAAATGACCTTGGTAATGCCCGCAGGCGCTACCGCCGAGCGCATCCGATCGATGAAGGCTTATGGCGCCGAACTTATTTTGACCGATAACAGCAAAGGCATTGAATACTCTAGGGTTTTGGCCGAAGAATTATCCAATGAAAACGGCTATGCCATGCCCAATCAATTTGCCAATGACGACAATTTAATGGCGCATTACAAAACCACGGGCCCCGAAATATGGCGAGATACCAATGGTTTGGTCACCCATTTTGTATCGTCCATGGGCACCACCGGCACCATTATGGGCACATCCAAATATTTAAAAGAACAAAATCCCAAAATACAAATCATAGGCGCTCAACCCACCGAAGGTTCTAGCATTCCGGGCATACGGCGTTGGACGCCCGAATTTTTACCCAAAATATACGATCCAAGCCGAGTGGATTTGGTGATGGATGTAAGTCAAGCCCAAGCCATTCACATGACTCGAGAACTGGCCAAAGTAGAAGGCATTATGGCGGGCATGAGCAGTGGCGGTGCCTTACACATAGCCTTAGAAATGGCCAAAAAAATCGACCATGGCACCATCGTATTCATTGTTTGCGATCGTGGAGACCGTTATTTGAGCTCGGATCTATTTGAAGCCTAATATTATGGAATTTACATCCTCTATGGTGAATTACACCACCCAAAATGCTTATTATTGGTGCGGCGCTTCGGGTTCAAAGGTGAAACAAATATGGATTTTGTTTCATGGGTATGCCC